GCCCCCTAGAGTCGAACACGACTGGACAAAAATTGTCAAGGGGAACCTTTACCTTTACCTTACCTATGCCATAGATTTAGTATTTTTATAAGTGTTGTAATTTATGTTGGCTATTATAAGATACACTATACATATTGAAAAGCACAGTATTAAATCTACTAAATAAGAAAGGAAGGAAGGAAGGAAGGAAGGAAGGAAGGAAGGAAGGAAGGAAGGAAGGAAGGAAGGAAGGAAGGTAGGGAAGGCTGTAGTATGAAAGTAGATTTTCCAAAGGATTTCAAATATTTCCTATTCTGCATTGGCCGGAAGAGCTGCCAACATGCTCATATACCATATGGATGTAAATAATCTCTGCAACATGCTTTTGAATGTGAAGTGCACATTCTGAGACCTGGGATTTGAAATCCACATTGCCAGCCCTCTGTCTGGGTGTTGACTCGCAACTGGGCGACGGAAAAGGAGAAAAGCGGGTCTTTTTAACAATGCATCCAATCTAAGATTTGGATGATGGAAGATTCAGGACAACCAACAGAAAGCACTGTATTCCTTCCAACAGCACATAGTTACACTGTGGGATTCGTTACCCTGGGGTGCCACAATGGTTACAAGCATGGGGAGCTTTAAAGGGGGATTAGATGCATTCATGGAGTTTCTGGCCATCAGTGGCTACTAGTCAGGATCGTTGTCCATTGCCTCCACTAACAGAGGCAGTACAGTTACGCCTAGCAGTTGGTCGAAACTGTGAGAAAGGGGTTGTAGTTTTCTTCACCACCTCTGGCAGTCTCCCCAAGCAACTCATTGGAGATTGTGTGAATATCATGTTGGATCAGAGTAACTCTGGTCTGACCTAGCAGCAGATCTTATGCATCAAACACAGAGATAAATGAATCCTTGAATGCTGTGGGTTTTTTGGGCTCTTTGGCCGTATTCTGAAGGTTGTTCTTCCTAACATTTCGCCAGTCTCTGTCTTGTTGTGGGTGTATTGTTTTGATAAGGAGGACATGAAATTCTTATTTCAAAATACTGAAATACTGGACAACACCAGCAATCCTCACGTCAGACTGCATAGGGAAGCCATTGAAATCCATAAGCACCAGCAGAACTTCAACAAAAAAGAGGAAAGTTTGAAACTCAACACAACTTGGCTCCCAGCTCTCAAAAATACAGCGTGCAAAAGGTCAACGAACTCTACCCAGCCACAAGGACAGGGGATTACTACACACACAAGACCAGCTAATGACACCCATCAACCAAAGTGACAGATAATCTCTCCTCCTTATCACAACAATACACCCACAACAAGACATGCTAATCACCCATCTACAGAAAAAGACAAAAGCCTATCTCACAGCCATAAATACTCCACTCCCAAAGCCAACTACACCAGAGCACAGAGTGCTGTCCTCTGAAGATGCCGGCCACAGAGACTGGTAAAACGTTAGGAAGAACAACCTTCAGAAAACACGGCCAAAGAGCCCAAAAAACCCACAACAACCATTAGATCCCGGCCATGAAAGCCTTCGCGAATCCTTGAATCCTTGAGTTGGAAGGGGCTTCTAAGGCCATTGAGTCTAACCCCCTGCTCAAGGCAGGAAGCCAACTCAAAGCAGATCTAACAGAGGGTTGTCCAATTTCCCCTTGAATGCCTCCAGTGTTGGAGCACTCGCCACCTCCCCGGGTCTTTGATTCCATTGTCGTACTGCTCTGACAGTTATAAATGGATTTAGGTCTGTTGGCAGACTAGTATCAGCCGCATCCATGTAATCAATACTAACTCAATACCTACATAATCCCCATTGGACCAAAGGAGGTCTACTCTAGTTGGGATGGCAGTAGGATACTGGTCATGGATTTGGGGGCTATCCAACCTTCAGCAGAAGTGTGGGTGATGCATCACAGGACACAGACTTACGCACCATGAGTTTAAAGGAAAACAAAGTGTTACTTTTATTTGGAAGAGGTACGATGGGGCCATCAACAAAATATAGACAGAACCCACCAGGTAAAGTTTGTCTGAGTTAAGACGGGAAACGCATCACCACTAAATCTCCCTAGAAAAATGGGGACGAGGTCTCTGGATTTCACTGCTCAGCAATGTCTTGATGCCCAGACCATAGCAGATATCTAGGCGCACACAACTTGGTGTGGGTTTTGTCGTCTGCCAATCTCTGTCACCAAGCAGAATGGGATGTTGTCTTGCGTGGTGGAGCTTCTGCCACATCCGAGGTTTTCATCTCACAGATGGAAGCGCAACAATAAAGAAGGTCAAATCATGACTAGGCACAGTGAGGAGGGTGGAAACTCTTGTCAGCTTCCAGAGCCTGGGAAAGGTTTTTATTTAATTTTATAATACAACTGGGCACATGGACCAAAGGATTCTGGGAAGTGAAGTATCAATGGGGGGGGGGAAGGAACGACCCCAAAACCAGCAACCACCTTTTCTAAACTCTCTATTTCTTAGAAGGGATGCCCCAATGAATCATGAGGCAAACTTCATTTCTCCTTCTTTTTCTTCTTCTTCTTCTCTTCCTTCTCTTTCTCTCCCCCCTGCTGCTTATTTTCGGAAGATTTCTGCTTCAGCTTCTTCGCATTTTTGCTCCCTTTCCCCCCTTGGTCGACAGGACTGGGCGGTGGTGGGTAAGGGACGGGCGGGTTGAGCATCAAAGCCTTCCTCTGGAGCTTCAGCTGCAGGATTTCAAAGGTGGTCTGGATCTCGTGCTGGATAATATCATGGAGGTTCTGGATCTGGGTCTTAATGGCTTCTTTGACCAGGGAAATGAGAGTCTGGAAGACAAACACACAGTGCATTGGGGGGGTTTCTGAAGCTCCCGTGGAGACCAGTGAGTCTACTCTGGAGTAAAGTTACTTACCTCCACTGATTTGAATACAAAACTCACTGTCTTCCTGCCTGTCTTCCTTTGGCCTCAACACACATAAATATTGCAAGGTGGTGGTGGAAGCCAGTGAGTGTACCAAACGTGGCACTTCTCTTCCACCATGAGGGAGGCCCTCCCTCCTGCCTTAAAGATAAAAGTTTGCTGACCCTTACAGCTTCATTACAAATGGAATAAGTTTATCTTATCTAGAATCATACTGTCATGGAGTTGGAAGGGACTTATAAGACCTCTAAACTTATTCCAATTTGTTAGCATCCTTCTTGAAGTGCAGTGTCCAGAACTGGACACAAGGTGAGGCATTGCTGAATAGAGGGAGACAAGGACCTCGCTGGATTTGGAAACCATACTTCTATTAATGCAGCCTAAAATAGTATTAGCCTTTTTTGTAGCCACATCACACTGTTGGCTCATATTTAGCTTGTGATCTATGACAATTCCAAGATCCTTCTCGCTCGTAGTTTTGCCGAGCCAGGCATCCTCCATCTTGTAACTGTGCAATTTTCCGAGGTGCAGGATTTTGCACTTATCCCTGTTGAATTTCATTCTGTTGTTTTCGGCCCTCTGCTCCGACCTATCCAGATCCTTTTGAATTTTGCTTCTGTCTTCCAGGGGATTAGCTACTCCACCCAATGTTGTGTCATCTGCAAATCTGATCGGTATTCCCTGCGCTCCCTCATCCAAGTCATTAATACCAATGTGGAAGAGCACTGGGCCCAGGGCTGAGTCCTGGGGGTGCCCTGCTTCTTACCTCCTCCCAGTTTGAGAAGGAGCCATTGAGCTTGTGAAGTTCCAGATGGGATCTCAAATTTATTGCTGGATGGAAGCATCAATATATATGTAATAAATATCAATTGCAACTCTTTGTAACCAGTAACGTGCCCTACTCTAAGCACAGTCACAAACATGATCGCTGCCAGTGGCTGGGGTTGCCTTCAGGTCAAGACTTCAAAGAGGCCGCCCAAGGTATTTTGCCGCCTGAGCCAAACAAACGGCACCCTGTCCCTGCCCGTGGGATTTAAGGCACTAAAGCTTGGATTCCCGTACGCTCCTCTCCGGCTTCTTCTGAGAAGCCAGGGTGGGGCTTGGGAAGAAAACTTCCAGCCAAACTCCAAGCCCTGACTTGGGCTTGATCATAAAAGGTGGGGAAGGGCGAAGGAGATCCTGCAGGGGCGCTGATGTTTCCTCAAAGGTCATCCTGACCTTTGGCAGCTTCTGGCTCTCTCCCCGTCTGTGTGCAAGAGAGGACGAAACATGTCAGCAGAAGCCAACCGGGAGGCCGCTGGGTGATGCCTGGCCCCCAGCCAGCCTCCCCGAAGCTGTTGAGGTTTGGAGGTGATCCATCGGACCTGGAGGGCTTTTGGGGATGGTGGGACCGAATCCAGGACCGTGAAGGAATGGGGAGGAATTTCCCTTCTGCACCTAAGGTGGCACACCAAACAATCCAGAAAATCCTCCGGGATTTATATATTGCAGTTCTCGCTGCTTGAGTTCAAAAGGTGAGGTACTTTGCTTTCATTTGAACTTCATGAGTTTTACACACACACACACACACACACACTCTCGCTGCTTGAGTTCAAAAGGTGAGGTGCTTTGCTTTCATTTGAACTTCATGAGTTACACACACAGAGACACACACACACACACACAAGCTTTAATAGAGAGGCCAATAATTCCACTCCGTAGATGGGCTGACGACAGAAACGCCTCCATTTCCCAAAACAAAAAACGCTCGCAGGGAGAGGAGAATCAGCCGCCGAGCAAGCCTGGGCAGGCAGACTTCTCTGTCTCAAGTATGATAAACTCATCCCTGCCTAATTATGCAAATCAAGGCTAGATCGAGAGGGGAGGGGGAAAAAATTAGTTTTGGACAACGCAGCCAGAAACATAATTTGGAGATGCTGTGAACCCGCAGGATGAACTGGGAGATCAGATCCAAACGGCGCGAGTTCAAAAGTGGAATACATTTATGCAATTTGGGATTGATCGGCGGGTGTTGTTCTCGGACTACAACTCCCAGAAATCCTGGCCAGGACAGCTAGGGGTGCAGGCTTCTGGGGGTTTTAGTCCAAGAACATCTGGGGACCAGAGGTTGGGAACCACTGATCTAGAAAGCAGTGGTTCCCAAGCTGACGTAACCCAAGTGTTCTTGGACTGCAACTCCCAGAAGCCTTCACCACCAGCTGTGCTGGCTGGGGTTTTCTGGGAACTGCAGTCCAGGAACACTTGGATTGCCCAAGGATGGGAACCACTGGCCTGGAAGTAGCATGAGGACCGCTTAGCACCAGCATCGCTTAAGACATGGGTGGCAGATGTCAGGCCCTGAAGCAAACATCTGGAGCCAATTATGTTTTTGGTCTGGCTTCGGAGAGGGCCATGCCCCCTCTTCCCGTGACACCAGCATGGATGGCTTCCTGGCTTTTATATGGGTTTGCCCTCATTCTGGAAAAGTTTGAAAATCTTCTCCCACAGCTTGTTTGCTGGAATGACCTGTCAGCCAAAATGGACTCAGTGCCTTCATCCTTGAATAATGGGCTTCACTGGAAGGACAGATCCTGAAGCGGAGGCTCCAAGACTTTGGCCATCTCATGAGAAGTGAAGACTCCCTGGAAAAGACCCTGATGTTGGGAAAGTGTGAAGGCAAGAGGAGAAGGGGATGACAGAGGATGAGATGGATGGACAGGGTCATTGAAGCGACCAACATGACTTTGACCCAACTCCGGGAGGCAGTGGAAGACAGGAGGGCCTGGCGTGCTCTGGTCCATGGGGTCACGAAGAGTCGGACACGACTAAACAGCAACAACAAGCAGCTAGGCATGAGTGGAGGTGGGTGCCTTGGCTTTTAAGAAAAAAGTCAAGCATTTTCCTCATCCAGCATTACTCACCCTGAAATTTCTCTCTCTCCTTGGAGACTAGGGAGAAGCATAGCAATTCCCGGAAACTAGCAAATGCCCTGAGATCCAGGAAACCCAATTCCAGACGGCCAACTTGTCAGGTCCCTTCCTTGAGCACTGCCTACCATCCCACTCCTTCCCTCAGTTTGCTGGTGTATCCCCAAGATTTGCTCAGCTTTACACTGGCCGCCAAGTATAGGAGTTTTATTTGGAATCTCACATGCAGTCCGTAGTCTGGGTGACTGGGAGAGCATTTTCTGGGTGGGGGTCATTATCTATTTAATTCAGCACTGACCAATCATTCTTTCCAGCCGCTGATTTCAAAGACAGCCTTGCTGCTGAGGGCTTCCCCCCCCCCCACCTCTCTTTAGTCCGTTGGTGGCAATTGTTTGTTTGCTGTTCATCTGTTTGGTTGGTTGCCAAGTATGTGCAGTCAAAAAAAAAATCAGTGTACACAAGCCTGTAGTTTCAAACAACTGTATATGAAGAAATATTGGTACAGTGGTACCTCACTAGATGATGACCCGCTAAACGACGAATCCGATGACTTTATAGCGATTCGCAAAACAGTCATTCTAATGGGTGATTTTCGCTTGATGACGATTTGGTCCGTGCTTCGCGAACCGTTTGTTCACAAGACAACAATTTCTACAGCTGATCGGCCGCTCCATAAAATGGCTGCCCTGTGTTTTCCAGACTCATGCTTCGCAGGACAGCCATTTTTACAGCTGATGAACACTTCGCAAAATGGCTGCCCTATGGGCGATATTCGCAAAACGACGAGGGATTTTCCCCATGGGAATGCATTAAACGGGTTTCACTGCATTCCAATGGGGAAATGGTTTTTGCATGACGATGATTTCGCTAAACAATGATTTCTATGGGACAGATTATCATTGTCATGCGGGGCACCACTGTATTTTTTCTCCTACAGATCTCAGGGTGAGTTACTGAGGATTTAAGTGGCAGTGAATGACAAAGGGGTGGGCTCTGGGAATACTTGTACCTATTTTCCCCTGTACAGAGACGGTGAAGCAAAAGGAATTTGACACCCCCACACACAGAGAGAGAGAGACATGCACACACAGAGAGAGACACAAAGACATAGACACAGACACACACACACACAGAGAGACATGCACACACAGAGAGAGACATGCACACACACACAGAAACACAAAGACATAGACACAGACACACAGATATGCATACACACAGAGACACAAAGACACAGACACACAGACATGCACAGACACAGAGACACAAAGACACATACACACAGACACAGACATACACACAGACACAGACACACACACACACATGCACACACGCACACACACACAGACCTCTCTTCAAAGTTCACAGCATTTTACACCAGTCACCTTATTCTGGCATTTGAGGCCAAAAAAATCTCCCAAGTTCTTCCTCTTCTAGGGAATGAAAATGCAATCGTAATAAAGTAAATAAGGGACACAACACGCTGCTCTTACATGACAACTGACGTCTGATACCTTAGGCAACCCATTTCACTGTACCACACAAAAGAGCCCACCCTGAGGCCCATGTCCATCTTCCAGGTTTCTGGGCAGTAGCTGGAGAGGACTGGCCAACTTAAACCCTATTAAATCTTCACCATATACCACTTGTTTGTTTTTTAAAGGTCCCTTTTCCAAGCTGAGCCGAGCCATTTTGGGATCTGAGAGAACTGAATACAAAACAGGAGCCTTTTACAGTGGTGCCTTGCTAGACGGTGATAATCCATTCCACTAAAACCACTATTTAGCGAAATCATTGTCTAGCGAACGAGCTGAGTCATTTTGGGATCCGAGAGAACTGAATACCAAACAGGAGCCTTTTACAGTGGTGCCTCGCTAGATGATGATAATCCATTCCACTGAAATCGCTGTTTAGGGAAATCATTGTCTAGCGAAAAGCATTTCCCCATTGGAATGCATTGAAACCTGTTTAATGCATTCCAATGGGCAAGAATCGTTGTTTAGCAAAGATTGGCCATAGGGAAGCTGCTTTGCGAACCGCCGATTAGCTGTTTAAATTGCTGCCTTGCAAAGCTTATGTCCCGAAAACACCTGTTTGCTAGCGTGGAGGGAGCTGTCAAAATCGTCGTCTAGAGAAAATCAGTTTGAGAAGCAGGGACCAAACATTGTCCATCGAAATTCCCCCATAGGAATCACTGTTTTGCGAATCGCTATAGCGATCTCAAAAAGCCAATGTCTAGCGAAAAAACTGTCATGTGGGTTAACTGTCTAGCAAGGCGCCGCTGTACTAGCTGTGAACTGCGGCCAAACGTCCCTGTTCCTTTAGCTTAGGGGCAGGTTTTGCCACGGAGTCTCTGCATGCTACCTCATACGTCTGAAGAAGTGGACCATGTTCCATGAAAGCTTACATTAAAACAGGACAGGTAATCTTCGAAGGGACACGACTTTCTTTTTTTGTTTCGTTTTACATTGGACAGGTAATCTTCGAAGGGACGCGACTTTCTTTTTTTGTTTCGTTTTACATTTCTCATTGAAACGCTGAAAATCATTGGAGGTGGAAGGGGCCTCTGACACCCTCGAATCCAAACCCCTGCTCTAGGCAGGAATCCAGGTCAAAGGAGATCTGACCGAGGGTGCTCCCATTTTCTCTTGGAGGCCTCTAGCGCTGGTACACTCGCCATCTCCCCTTGAGGTCATGGGTTCCATTGTCGTGTTGGAATTCTCGCCACCTCCCCTTGAGGTCATGGGTTCCATTGTCGTACTGCTCTAACAGTTTAGGACTTTTTGCTTCAAATTCAGCCTAAATCTGGCTTCCCATAACCTGAGCTCATTATTATGTGTCCTGCTTGAAATTCAGCCTAAATCTGGCTGACCATAACCTGAGCTCATTATTATGTGTCCTGCACTCGGGGATGATCGAGAGCAGGTCCTGCCCTTCCTCTGTAGGACAGTCTTTCAAGGATTTGAAAAGTACTATCACGTCTCCCCTCAGCCGTCTTTTCTCAAGACTAAAAAGCCAACTTCTTTCAGCCTTTCCTCGTCAGCCTTGGTTTCCAGCCCCCAGATCCTCCTGGTCGCCCTCCTCTGAACTTGTTCCAATTTGTCAGCATCCTTCTTGAAGTGTGATGTCCAGAACTGGACACAAGACTCGAGGGGAGGCCTAAACAGTGCTGAATAGGGTGGAACTATCACCTTGCAGGATTTCGTGACTATACTTCTGTTAATGAAAGCCAAAAATTGCATTAGCCTTTTTTGCAGCTAAATCCCCCTGTTGGCTTGCACAGACTAAGACAGCTACATACAACTAAGGAAAACCCCCATTTTTCCAGGGCCTGCCATGAAATATATTTTTGCCCCTCTCTACTCTTCTCATTTACCTCTTTGCTCAGGCCTTCTGCTTGCCTTCTGACGTTTCTGTACACTGCTCGCAGTAGATTTTCTCTCTCTACCTGCAGGGTTTCTCGGAACTGCCGCAAACTGGCCCGTTTTTCTTCTTCAGCCGCAGAAATGGCCTCCAGCTGCTTCTGGTACTGCCAGACAGACACATCCATGCCCTCCACCAGTGGGAGAGGGGTAGGGGGAGCGTGGACCTCCAGACTAGCAAAGGTCTGCCGGCGGTCTCTCTCTCGCGTCAACACGAACTGGTACAACAAATAATGCTTGACAAAAGTGTTGTGGAAGTAATCGCACACGGCCCGCTGGTGGGAAGGGAGCAGCGTCACTTGGAGGGCAGAAAGCTTATCCTGGAGGATTCGGATGGCCTGCAAAACGGACAAACCTGCAGTAAAGGGGGAGGGAAAGTCATATATGGGATTACAAAGGGACCCATGCATCTGCCAGAATAGTATTTCACTTATCCATGATGTAAAAATATTGAAAATTACATCTACAGTGGTGCCTCGCTAGACAGTTTCAGAACAGTATATCACTTATCCATCATGTAAAAATATTGAAAATTACATCTCATCATTAACTGGCTAGATGGTTATGGAAGTTCTAGTCCAAAAAGTAAGTTTTTCAAGCTCTGAATTATTTAAATTACTCTGGGTTGGACCGGTCACAGGTCATAGGATAGTGAAGTTGGAAGGGGCTTATAAGACCATCAAGTCCACTTGGGTCAAGATTTTACTCCCCCGGGTTCCTGATGCTTTGCATCTTCCAATAACTTAACTGGTTGTGGAAGCTCTAGTTCAAAAAGTAACTTTTGCAAGCTCTGGATTATTTAAATTACTCCGGCTTGGACTGGTCACAGGTCATAGGACAGTGACATTGGAAGGGGCTTATAAGGCCATCAAGTCCACTTGAGTCAAGATTTTACTCCCCCGGGTTCCTGATGCTTTGCATCTTCATGTCGTACTGTAGGGGTGGTGAAACTGTAGCCCAGTTCTCCCCACTAGCTATGCTGGCTAAGGATGATGGGAGCTCTCATCCCACAAGACCTGAAGGGCTGGGTTTAGCAAAATCCTAGAGCAGGGCAGAAAGGAGAAAGTGCAAGAAAGAGGATTAGCGTTGAACCTTAAGAAGACAAAAACTGTGCTCATCACCATAATTACCCCATCTCCTGAAAAGGACAAAAAATGATCCCACAGCTATAAGTACTCAACTATCCCACAAAACTGCACCAGAGCATAGACAGAGATCTGACTCCTGTCCTCTGAAGATGCTGGCCACAGAGACTGCGAAATGTTAGGAAGAACAACCTTCAGAACACGGCCAAAGAGCCCCAAAAAAACCACAACAACCATTAGATCCCGGCCGTGAAAGTCTTTCAGATACAACAGCAACAAAAAAGCTATGTGTATGGATGTGAAAGCTGGCCAATGAAGAAAAATGTAGTGACGGAGGAGAGCGTTGCAGACAAATAAGTGGGTGCAAGGTTACATCAAGGCCAAACTCTCGTTAGGATTCCTTAGAGGACTGAGTATTCAGCTGCGGCTATCATACTTTGCGCACATCAAGAGAAGACAAGCCTTACTGGAAAAGACAATAAGGCTAGAACAAGACAGAAGGAAAAGAGGAAGACCCCACGTGAGATGGATTGACCCAATAAAAGAAGCCACTTTTTGCAGCTTTGGCACACCCACACCCAGTGGAGCACAACAGCAGGATCCAGTACTAGAACCAGTTACTGAGCCCAAACAAGATATGTAACTGTTGAAGTAAATATAATTGCAATTGTTAAAAAAAAAGGAGTGACACTACAGATGTAATGTAAGGTAATTATGTCACCTTTATTGAGGAAAAGAATTAACTTCTGTGTTCTAGCAGTGGTCCCCAACCTTGGGCATCCAGATGTTCTTGGACTTCAACTCCCAGAAATCCTGGCCAGCAGAGGTGGTGGTGAAGGCTTCTGGGAGTTGTAGTCCAAGAACGTCTGGAGGCCCAAGGTTGGGGACCACAGATCTATAGCATCCAGCAGGGAAAGGAAAGGGGGAAGGTCACTCCAAAATTTACAGGGACCCCCCTGCTCTGGTCACAAGACATCACTGGACTCTAATGCATTGATATAAGTTTTTAATGTTCACTTGCTTTTAATTATTTAATTGTATTTTAACTAGCACATTGTTTAATTGTTTTTTTAAAAGCCTATCGTGTTTTAACTGGATTCTTTTTAATATTGTGAGACGCCTTGGGTCCCTTTATCGGGAGAAAGGTGGCCTAGAAAACCAACAAACCTATTTACCTTTTACTGAATCCAGTGTCAGTTTAATGTTAAACTTTTGGTGATACCTGTTGACTTAAAAGAACCCAAGTTTAGCAGAAATGTAATAATACAAAGCAATTCTTGACACCAAATGAAAAGTGAATCCAGTCGAAAACCTGGTCAGACTTTAGAGTGTTGTTCTTTCCAGGTCACGTTGATTGCACTGAAAATATTGCAGTTTCCAAATATCTGATCATCTTTAATTGATGGTTGCAGAGTTAGATCTTGGCATGGAAGAAAGCCTTTGGCTGCAGGATGAGTATTCTCCTATTGCTGGACTAACAGATCTGTGTCAGAGGTTGAAAAAATTACTTTTTTTTTAATGATCATTCCCACAAAACTCCAGCCATAATGGCCATACCTCCAAAAGTAACTTTTCCAAGCACTGATCTCTATGCAGAGAGGAGCCTCAGATCTCGACTCCTAGTTCCAGCCCAAACTCTGTGTATTGAATGTCTTACCTGCACCTACATGCAAGGACTCCCCAATAAATACAGGGCGTGCAACCTCCAAACCTCTGAAAAACAGAGGGCATAGACAGGGCATAGACGCATAGGTCACTGAGATCAAGGCGGGTGGGGCCAGCAGATCATGATGCCCTCCCTCCCTCCCTCCCACATATTCATGGGGGAACAGATCTAATGTCTGCATCAGGCTAACCGTGGCACAATCCGAGAGCAGACATGATGGAGCCAGAGAATCCGAACAACAAGTTCATTAGCACTGAGCAATATTTATTTTTATGGGACACCTCAGTGTGGCATCATCAATTAGCCAACTCAGTTTATATGCAAAGCTACTCATTTCGGGGCAGGCACTGATGATAAGCACCCTGTTCCTTTCAGCTATTGTTTATTTACAAACCAATTTCTGCATCAATACAGGAGCACTATAAAGATAGGTATGGATTCGGGATTACATCAACTGAAACAAGGAAGGGCCGCATAGCTCAAAACAGATCCAAATTAGAGGCATATTGAAAGCAAACAATGGAAAGTGATTTTTTCCCCGGCTCCTTTCGCTCGTGCACTGGGAACCCTGATTGTTTGGCTGGGGAGTAAGGCAGAGGGACTTAATTTGTCTCTGTTTGCTTTAAATTTCTAAAGCTAAGGCCATCCCCAAAGGCTTCAGTTCATAAAATGCGCTCATAAAATGACCCAGTAAATGATTCAATAAGATATCTGAAGTAGCATCTCGATCAGACATGATGTATTACAACGCCATCCCTTTCAGGCAGATTTGGGACACTATCGGTATGGGCAAAAGTGGCTGTAAAATTACTGGGTACTGCCCGGTTCATTTTGGTCCTTCTTCGCCCATCCAGATGATGAGAAGCTTAAAACAAAATAATGGGTGTGTTGTTCTGTGCTATTCCAGGTCTTTTTGCTTATCCTAAACTCCCCCCTTTCCTCCCAGATGATACATCACGGGCTCTGATACCTTTGCTCGTTCGTTCGTTTAGTCATTTAGTTGTGTCCGACTCTTCGTGACCCCGTGGACCAGAGCACGCCAGGCCCTCCTGTCTTCCACTGCCTCCCGGAGTTGGGTCAGATTCATGTTGGTCCCTTCGATGACCCTGTCCAACCATTTCATCCTCTGTCGTCCCCTTCTCCTCTTGCCTTCACACTTTCCCAACATTAAGGTCTTTTCCAGGGAGTCCTCTCTTCTCATGAGTTGGCCAAAATCCTGGAGCCTCAGCTTCAGGATCTGTCCTTCCAATGAGCACTCGGGGTTGATTTCGTTTAGAATTGATAGGTTTGTTCTCTTTGCAGTCCAGGGAACTCTCAAGAGCCTCCTCCAGCACCACAATTCAAAGGCATCAATTCTTCGGCGGTCAGCTTTCTTTATGATCCAGCTCTCACTTCCATACAGCACTACAGGAAAAACCATAGCTTTGACTATTCAGACTTTGCAGCATCAGACAAAACATGTCTGGCCCTCCAGGACTGGGTGGACTTCAACTTCCAACAACTTTGGCCAGCATGGCCAATGGTAAGGGTCCATAGAGAGGGTCTGATTCAAAAGTTCTGGAGCACCATTCCACCATGAATGCAAAGACTGTGGTTTTGTTAATTTTCTTCTCTCGCTCATATAGTTTTCTCCTGCCATTGAAATTTCCCCCTTACCCCTTAATCGGAGTATGGAAAATATACTGGAGGAGATTTAACAGTTTGGGTTTTTTATTTTTTTTTATTTTATTTTTTTTGCCATCCAGAAGAATAACCTTTCCAAACTCTATTTTTTTTTCCTGATGCGTTCTGTTTCGTGAACCTGTCTCTGCTACAGGGGAGTCACCACCCTGGAATCTGTTGCAGAGTTTTGGATTTTTAGTTAAAATCCCTCTATCTGTGCAGCAGAAATGTAGGAATTCACAGAGCAGAATAGCTTCACGTTTTCCAGTGTACACCACCTCTTCTCTCATTCACTGGCACTTACTGTCTCAATTACTCACTCTGACACATTGGTAGGAGAAAACATTAAAGGTTTCATTTCTTGTAACTGAACAGATCAAACTGCAAACTGACAAACATGACTGCTTCCAACAACAGACTCACTGTTTCCAACAAGTTGTTGTTGTTGTTTAGTCGTTTAGTCGTGTCTGACTCTTCGTGACCCCATGGACCAGAGCACGCCAGGCCCTCCTGTCTTCCACTGCCTTCTGGAGTTCCCAAGGCAGCACGCGAGGTTGCAAAAACTCCAACGGAATAAACCACTGGGCTTTAAACTTGGGTCCCCAACTATTCTCAAACAACACCCTGAGAATCCCTCACCATTAACTATGCTGTCTATCATTTGTGGGTGTTACACAATACAGCAATGACAAACCTAGACAACATCTTTAAAAGCAGAGACATCACCTTGCTGACAAAGGTCCGCATCGTCAAAGCTATGGTTTTTTCTAGTAGCGATGTATGGAAGTGAGAGCTGGACCATAAAGAAAGCGGACCGCCAAAGAATTGATGCTTTGGAATTGTGGTGCTGGAGGAGGCTCTTGAGAGTCCCCTGGACTGCAAGGAGAACAAACCTATCCATTCTGAAGGAAATCAACCCTGAGTGCTCACTGGAAGGACAGA